TTTGTTTAATCAGCTAACTGCCTTTCTTTGGTTGGCAACCAACACTGAGATAATTTTGTTCTATAGGCGGCATTTAGCAAAACCCCAGGACTGTGAATGAGGGAAAAGTGACGGGGAGGGGAACAACTACCCGAGCAGCTGTTTCTGGGCTACACCCCAAGTTGCGGGATCTGGGCCAAGTTCACGATATTCTCCTCTGCTGGAAATTGTAACAAGATTTCCTGTAAACTGGGACCAAATTGGAAAAATGCATCTAAAAATTTTCTATAGTTTAATATAGTGGGAATCTTTAGATGATTTTCTTTCTTTCTCTTTTCTTTTCTTTTTTTTTTTGAGATTTGATTTTACAAAAGAAAACTTAGTAGAAAATAGAAAATAAATCCCAATTATATTAACATTGGAAAACCACGTCAGACTTTATTTTGGGCCCCTCCATTGTATCCTATAATTTCTCAAAATGTGTGGAAGTACAATTCATTTCTGGAGAGAAAATATTTGTTAATAGTCTTCTCAAACATACCTTTCTTTATTTTTCTTCTCTGGGCCCCTTCCAGTATATACTCCTAACAGTATATCTAGAAACATCTTTCCTGTGTCTTTGTTACTTTTCTTTTCTACCTCTCTGCAACACCAACAAGATTCTAGTCACATCTTGGAGGGTGTAGAGCACACTTCATCACAGGAGGATGGGAGGGAGATTCCTATGTGGGTCACTTTGCACACACTCACAGATCGTCTAGATTCTTCACAAATTTGACTACCGAACCAAACTCTGTCTTGCTAAAATAGAGAAGTGAACTCATAGCTCAGAATTTGACTGAAAGTCCCTTCCTAGTAGCCTGAAGAGCAATTTCCAGTCTAGCAGGTCAGGAGCTTGGAAGTCATCACTCTGTCCTAATGACAAGAAAAAAGCCAAATAAACTGTAAAAAGCAACAACTCATCTTAGATCTCTAAGAGAAGTGATGTCACAGAGCAAACTGCAGCCCCCAAATCTGGAGAGATTGGCAAGTGAATACAGAGCACTGCAATTTACTGGAGAGAGACCCATGCTCTGAAACCCCTGCAGAGACCAGAGCTGCGATACGAACCTGCAGTACTAGCATGAAGAGATGCAACAGAGAGAAAGAAACAGAAAGTCCATACTACCTGCATTTTGTTTTGTAATGTATTTCTTGTCCGATTCCCCTATCACAGAAACACTATTTTGCTTATTCCTACATATATACCCAGTTCTTTTATGGGAAAACACTTTTTCTGGTTGGAGGTCAGAACCCGTTCACTGGCCTGTGGGGGAAGTAGAGATCACCTCCACCCACTTTTAGCTCTTTTTTTTTTTTTTTTTTTTTGAGTTGGAGTCTCACTCTGCCACCCAGACTGGAGTGCAATGCCACCGCAGCCTCGACCTGCTGGGCTCTGGCGATCCTTCTGCCTCAGCCTTCCAAGTAGCTGGAACTACTGGCGCGCGCTACCACGTCCGGCTCATTTTGATTTATTGTAGAGATGAGGTCTCGCCAAGTTGCCCAGGCGGGTCTCGAACCCGCGGGCTCAGGCAATCCACTCACCTCGGCCTCCCAAAGTGCTGGGATTACAGGCTGAGCCACAGAGCCCGGCCCATTTTTACCTCTTATGTGAGTTCTACTAGATCTAGAAACCAAGTTGATACCAGGCAGATTAACAAGAGAAAGGCATGCAAATTTTATTAGATTTTCATGTAAACAGGAATCTTCCTCAAGAGAGTGAAGTCTAAAGGAGTGGCCAAAGCAAGATGTTTTTATACTTTTTAGATACATTTGAGAAGAAGTGACAGGACAAAGAATATCTCGCTAGGAGCAGTAATCTTCTAGGGGAGTCATTAGAAGATTAGGAAGTTATAAAACTTGTGGAAGATAAGGGATACTTCTTTAAGTATGTTATTCAAGCTAATTGTAGCCTGTAATAATTCCCAGTCTCTAGGGATAAGGGCTATTTTCTTTCTTTTTTTCTTTCTTTTTTTTTTTTTTTTTTTTGAGTTGGAGTCTCACTCTGCCACCCAGGCTGTAGTGCAGTGGCCGCTCCCAGCCACCGCAGCCTCGACCTGCTGGGCTCCGGTGATCCTTCCGCCTCAGCCTTCCAAGTCGCTGGAACTACAAGTGTGCAATACCATGCCCAGCTAATTTTTTGATTTATTGTAGAGATGAGGTCTCGCCAAGTTGCCCAGGCGAGTCTCGAACCCGCGGTCTCAGGCAATCCACTCACCTCAGTCTCCCAAAGGCACAGGATTACAGGCTGAGCCACCGAGCCTGGCTTGATAAGGGCTATTTTCTTACCCCAGAATGGAAAGAGTACCCCACCCAGAGGAATCTTTATGTCTTGCTGCATACAGGAAAAGAAAGTCAGCTAGCCCTCTCTGAAACAACAATTTCTCCAATGTTCTTAACTTGAAATGATCAATATCCAAGGCTGGAATCTTGGGGGATGGCACCTATTTACTGATGAACAAAAATAGCATCAAGCCCTTCCTTTAAACTCCAGGAAGCTCTCTATTCAGGGTGCCACCAAACCTTCATGTTGTTGCATTGTTTCCCCTAACAACCATTCATAGGGGAAAAAAAGAAAAAACTTCCACCTCTTTAGTGGGTATGTGCACATTGTGGGTATGTCCAAACAAGGAGAAAACAGCAATGCTGAGTTGTAGCTGCTACCAAACTCTAGTTACCTTGAGAGATTTAATATTTTAATAAAAATACAGAGTTCACAGTTATTTGTGGTGTTTAATTATAAATTAATTACACACATATCAATATAAAAACTTGTTAAATTTTTATTAATAGACAGTGTAATTTTTACAATTATTAAGAAAATAAAGGGCAGCTTTTGTGATAGCCTCATGTCTAATGTAGTTAAGAAAATTATTGGACTAACATTCAACTAATAAATCTGCAAATTTTAGGCTATGTGTACAGTTGATCTTTGAACAATGCTGGAGTAAGGTGCCTACCCTGCACAGTCAAAAATCCACATGTAACTTTTGACTCCTCAAAACTACTAATAGCCTACTGCTGACAGGAAGCCTTACTGATAACATAGTCAATTAACACATATTTTGTATGCTATATGTATCTTTTTTTTTTTTTTTTTTTGAGTTGGAGTCTCACTCTGTCGCCCAGACTGGAGTGCAGTGGCCCCTCCAGGCCACCGCAGCCTCGCCTGCTGGGCTCCAGCGATCCTTCCGCCTCAGCCTTCTGAGTAGCTGGAACTACAGGCGCGTGCTACCACGCCCGGCTAATTTTTTTTATTTATTGTAGAGATGAGGTCTTGCCTGCCCAGGCGAGTCTCGAACCCGCGGGCTCAGGCAATCCACTCACCTCAGCCTCCCAAAGCGCAGGATCACAGGCTGAGCCACCGAGCCCGGCTTCCTTTTTTCTCTTTAAGTATTAGTTTGAGTATACACCTAACTGTGACATACATAATAAAGTCCCAGATGAAAGAAATGACTAACAAATTGAAACAAGTACCCTTCAGGGGCCCATGGACAGGTGCTGACTCCTTCAGAGACAAAAATCAAGGTGAGAACAAACTAAGATCCCAAAACAAGAATTACTAAATCACCACTATCATATCCTATCCATAGCTACAGCCTATTGCCACCACCAACTGAAGGACTAAAACTTCAATAGTACTTTGAAGAACTTCAAAGCCAGTTTACTGGTGTTTCAAAACACATAGTAATCTTTCCAATCGAACCCTACTTCACAGAAAGGAAAACTGAAAAAGATAATTTACGGGTGAAAGACAAAGAGTTTCCACCAGTGGATTATAGGTTATAGGCTAATCAAAACAAAGCATAAAGTAAAAACACATTCCTAAGTGACTACTCACATAGATTTCATTTTCATGGGTAGCTGGAAGGAAGCAAAATCAGAACACAGCAATTTAAATAAAATTTATTTTGTTAAGTTTTTTTTAATTTTTGCAATGCCACGGTTATAGGAGTGTATGAAGAGGTAAACACGCCTCCTTTTCTTAACCATGCCTTTTTTTTTTTTTAAACCTTCTGCACAAAAGTAAATGTTTTTGTTAATCTCATAGTTAATGGTATAAAACAGGTCGGCAAACCTTTCCTCCAAAGAGCCAGATGATAAATATTTTAGGTTTTACAGACCACATAAGGTCTCTGTCATATTTTTTTTTCTTTTATAACTCTGTAAAAACATAGAAATCATTTTGTTTGTACCATACAAAAACAGAATGGGCCAAATTTGGCCCATGGACAATAGTTTGTCGACCCCTGGTACAAAATATCTACTTTCTATTTTTTTCAGAGAAATTTCTTTCTTTAGGCTTCTAGACAGTCTGCTTCCTGAAGTAAAGTAGAGAAGGGCTTTTTTTATACCTGTATGTGACTTGTGACAAAAGTAGAGAGTTTCTAATCACCTTGGACTCCCCCAAGCAGTTTTTCCATTCACTCACTCATTCAGTGAATTTGTTGAGCACCTACTATGTACACTCTTAGATATCCTGGCATTAGCAGAGATTTCCAGTGTCTCTTTCTTAAAAGGGTGATTCCTCTAGTTTTTCTAAACCAGGAATTATCCCTTCTTAATATTTATGTTTTAGGGAGAATAAGGATTAAAAAGCTCTACGAGTACTCAAGAAAATTCATGATTATAAAAAAATGAATCTAGTTAACAATGATATCCTTGCACCCAATAGTGACAAATCCTTAAAATGTCACAGCCTATATGAGGAAAAATATGCAACTATCTGTATTTTTTTTTTCTTTGAGTTGAAGTCTCACTCTGTCACCCAGACTGGAGTGCAGTGGCCGCTCCAGGCCACCGCGGCCTCAACTTGCTGGGCTCCGGTGATCCTTCCGCCTCAGCCTTCCAAGTAGCTGGAACTACAGGCATGCGCTACCACACCCGGCTAATTTTTGATTTATTGTAGAGATGAACCTGCAGGCTCAGGCAATCCACTCACCTCAGCCTCCCAAAGATGTGGGATTACAGGCTGAGACACCGAACCCAGCTACTATCTGTATTTTAAAAGACGCCTCCCACAGGCTGAAACTTTTTTTTAAAAAAATTCTCAGATCTAGAATATCCCCCAAATAATTTCTTCCCATTTTTCTAGTCTGCTGTCATGTAACAAAAGATCTGGATGCAGGTAGGGCTCGTCATTTGCTTCTATTTCAGCCATAAAGCGATACTACATTTAGAGGTGAATATTGCCTCCAAAGCAGTGTGCACCCCATTTTATCTCAGGGAAGGAGTTATTCATTTCTGCTCCTTCAGGAAGAAAACTGTAATGGTCAGCTTTCTGTATCCAAGGTGAGGGAAGACTTTAAAGTGGTCAAAAGGAGCACAGGGCCTCAGTGTTATAATATAAAGGTTGCCCCCGTTCTCGATCTTTGGTACAGAAATCAGCTATGATAACCTGATTGCTTATACCACCAAAACATGGCACGTTTCATAATGAGTAGTAATTGTGGTTTTCCTTTTGACCATGTCAACGAAAGGGGAAATGCCTCGGGAAGTCACCTTGCAACGTTCTCTCAATTCTCATAAATACACGTACGCACAGCCAGTTCTCCCTTTGACTAAGTTCAAGGGGGAAAAAACAGAGTAGGCCACGGTTATCGTTTTCGCTCCCCTCTCTGTGTTCTTTTCTTTTCCTTTTCCTTGCGCTCCTGCTTGGCTAGTTTGTCTCTCTCCCTCTGCAGCTTGTCTTGTTCCTTCTTCCTTTGGGACTCATCCCGAAGTGAGTCTCGCTCCAATTTTCGGGCGTTGAGGACATCTTCCACATTGGTGTTTCGGAACAGAGCTGCAGGTGAGTTAAGGGATTCGCGTACAGGTCACAAAGGTCACAACTACTGCTCTTTCCTCATTCTGGCTATCCTTTCTCTACATGCTGAGTCCTAAGCCATCTCTACCTATTACTAGTCTTTAAAAAAAATCCTTATGCTTATCTTTGGTCTAATGGGAAATCCTAAAGCTACCTTGACAAAAGTTTTTAACCATCCCTTGGAATAAAAGTCTCATCTGGACTTATCTATACCTGAATTTAAGAATATTTTATCAACCAGGTGCAGTGGCGCATACCTGCAAGTCCAGCATTTTGGGAGGTGGAGGTGAAATGACTGACTAAGCCTGTGGGTTCATGACCACCCTGGGCAACTTGACAAGACCTTGTCTCTACAATAAAAAAATGAGCCAGGTATGGTGGTGCAGGCCTGTAGTTCCAGCTAGTTGGAAGGCTGAGGCAGAAGGATCACCTGAGCCCAGCAGATCAAGGGTGAGATGGCCATGATATGCCACTGTACTCCAGCCTGGACGACAGAGTGAGACTCCTACTCAAAAAGAAAAGTAGCCGGGCTCGGTGGCTCAACCTGTAATCCCGCACCTTGGGTGGCTGAGGTGAGTGGACTGCCTGAGCCCACCTGGGCAACTTGGCGAGACCTCATCTCTACAATAAATCAAAAATTAGCCGGGTGTGGTAGCACATGCCTATAGTTCCAGCTACTTGGAAGGCTGAGGCGGAAGGATCGCCGGAGTCCAGCAGGTCAAGGCTGCGGTGGCTGGGAGTGGCCACTACACTACACTCCAGTCTGGGCAACAGAGTGAGACTCCAACTCAAAAAAAAAAAAAAAAAGAAAAGTACTTCTAATTTACAATGGCAGAATACTGGAGAATCTAGACTAATTTTGGTGATTACAGTATTAATATAACTGGCTAAACATTCGTGTACTTGGCACCATTAAAATGCTTGAAGGCCAGGTGCGATGGCTCAGCCTGTAATCCCAGCACTTTAGGAGGCCAAGGTGAGAGGACTGTCTGAGCCCGGGTGTTCGAGACCAGCCTGGGCAACTTGGTGAGACCTTGTCTCTAAAATAAATCACAAAACCTAGTCGGGCGAGTTGGCATGCGCCTGTAGTTCCAGCTAATTAGAAGGCTGAGGTCGAAGGATCACCTGAACCCAGCAAGTCGAGGCTGCGGGGCCATGAGCGTGCCACTGCACTGCAGCCTGGGTGACAGAGTGAGACTCCAACTCAAAAAAATTAATGAAATAAAATGCTTGAAAAAGTTAAGTAAGAAGTTTAACTCTACTAAATCAATTTGCTTTTGTTCCTAGACTACTAAAGCTCAAGTGAAAACCATGTTCTAATAACTATAAACACTGAATTTATAAGAGATAGAAAATTAATTTAATACATTAGAAAATACTTAGCCAGGCTGGGCACAGTGGCTTGAACCTGTAATCCCAGCACTTTTGGAGGCCGAGGTGAAGGGATTGCCTGAGCCCATGGGTTCGAAACCAGTCGGGAAACTTGGTGAGACTTCATCTCTACAATAAATCAAAAGATTAGCCGGGCGTGGTAATCTTTTGAAAGCGTGCGTACTTTGAGAGGACAAGGTGGGAGGATCACCTAAACCCAGGAGTTTAAGACCAGTTTGGACAAGATAACAAGACTTTGTCTCTACAAAAAAAACTTAAAAATTAGCCAGGTGTGGTGGCATGTTCCTGTAGTCCTAGCTACTCAGGGGCTGAGGACGGATTGCCTGAGCCCAGGAGATCAAGGCTACAGTAAGCCATGATCAAGTTATTGCACTACAACTTGGGCAGTGCAGTGAGATCCCAACTCAAAAAGAAAAATCCATCTTCTCTGGGAAGCTTCTCATAATAATTCTGTTGCCCAGGCTGGTGTGCAGTGGTATGATCATACCTCACTACAACCTCAAATTCCTGGGCTCAAGCAATCTACTCCTCCCACCTAAGACTACCAAGTAGCAGGGATGACAGGTACATGCCACCCCACCCAGCTAGTATTTTATTCTTTTTAGTAAAGATGAGAGTCTCCCTGTGTTTCTCAGGCTGGTCTTGAACTCCTGTCCCCAAGTAATCTTCCTGCCTTGACCTTTCAAAGCACTGGGATTATAGGAATAAGCCACTTTGCCCAGTCATCAGCACATGTTTCAAAATGTCCGTATTTTTAGCTTAAAGTGTTTTCTGTTTGTGTTCTTTCTAACAAATTATAAAGTTTTCTAGGAAAAGGACAAAACTTCAATTTTATAATTGTTTCCATAACACGGGGCAACCCAGAGCTAAATATGGGAAGTATAGATTCTTATCTTCCCTTAGAAATCCCTCCTCTATGCCTTAAATTTATGAGTAAGGAAAATAATGATGTGGGGTGACGCCAAATCCTCACTACTAATGTGAGATGAATTTTTGAGCAGGTAAAGGTTGCCCCTAAGGTGACCCGCTTACTTTGCGGGATGCCTAGGAGTCGTGATCTGCCTGTCCCCTTTATTGAAAGGAAAAAAAAAAAAAGAAAAGAAATTCCTCCTCCAAACTTAACACTTTATAGTACTTGTCACTTGTTTTCTTGGGGGCAGTTATTGCTGAATTGTTATCTAGGGCTGTCCTAGCCATGGGGCTCCCAAATGCTTGCATGACCTGAGTTTCTGGAAGTAAAGGGAGCCCCCCGCAATGACAGCAAAAGAAAAACTGGTCTGCAAGAGGATTCTATGGAGAAACACAAGGGAGTGGACACAGAAGGATACATTTGTCAGGACCAGTGTTAACTGTGGTAGCACCTGAATCATCCTTCTCACCTGCTTCAGTAAGTGATGTTAAGGAAAGTCGACAGAAAACAAAGGCTGGCACATCCACCTAACATTAGAAAACATTCAGTAGACTGCTGGGCAGGAAAAGCAGGCTGAATGGAGGGATGTGATGATAAGCCCGAGAGAATCATCTTTGGAAATCTCAGATTAGGGAAGATTGTTTAGATCTTCTGTAAGATCCTTTTCTTGGAGGCTGAAAAGAAACTGAAGTTGGTCTGGGTGGACTCCACATTACCCGGAAACCAGGAGATGGCGAGATGACCAGGAGACAGAAGAAACTTCTGGGAACTTGTCAGACATGAACGTTCTTAGCCAGGTGCGGTGGCTCATGTCTGTCATCCAGCACTTTGGGAGGCTGCGGCGAGAGGAGTGCCTGAGTTCACGGGTTTGAGATCAGCCTGGGCAACATGACAAGACCTCATCTCTATAATAAATCAGCCAGGTGTGGGGGCACATGCCTGTGGCTCCAGTTACTTGGAAGGCTGAGACAGAAGGATCGCCTGAACCCAGCAAGTTGAGGCTGCAGTGGCTGTGAGCATGCCACTGCACTCCAGCCTGGGCGACAGTGAGACTCCGACTGGGGAAAAAAAAAAGAAAGAAATGCACATTCTTGGGCCTTATCCCAAATCCACTAAACCAGAAAATCTAGGGGGGGGGCAAAGCCCAGCAATCTATGTTTTAACAAGCCCTCCAGGAGAACCACCACTTCAAGTTCTTTTCTAGTCCAAGAACTGAAATTTTGTCATTGGAAACACAACCCTGCCAATCCTGGCAAGAGTAGTCATGAAAAAAACCAGAAGAGAAACTGGCCCCAAAGAACCCAAGAATTCTTTCCTAAGCTAGTGATTAGACCGCTGACATTTCTTTTTTTGCTGCTGTTGTTTTTTTTGAGTTGGAGTCTCACTCTGTTGCCCAGGCTAGAGTGCAGTGGCATGCTCATGGCCCCCATAGCCTTGACCTGCTGGGTTCAAGTGATCCCTCCGCCTCAGCCTTCCAAATAGCTAGAACTACAGGCACACGCCACTATGACTGGCTAATTTTTTTATTTATTGTAGAGATGAGATCTCACCAGTTGCCCAGAATGGTCTTGAACACGTGGGCTCAGGCAATCCTCTCACCTTGGCCTCCCAAAGTGCTGGGATTATAGGCGTGAGCCACTGCACCCAGTTGACAGCTGACATCTCTGGTGCATAATATACCACATACCTTATTCAAGTAGGCTCATTAAACAAAGCATTTCATAAATAAATATACAATTCATAGGGACCTAAACCTGCCCCTACGAGGACCACTTTTTTTTTGCAGAGTTCCCACTCAAATTCCAGATTTATCTTGGTGTTGCCTGGGGGTTCAACCTTACTTTTAACTAAAAGGTCACATAAAAATGAAAATATTCAAATGAAACTGCTCCAAATTTAGGGATTCCTTTGCCAGAAATATCCAGGTTCTAGTCTTGATTTTGTCACTAATTCTCTGAATGCCTCCGATCACCCATTCATCTCGTAGTGCCTTGGTTTCCTTATTGACTGGGAAAGAACATAAACATGGATTATATATATGATACTATACAGAAAAGTATTAAACAAATATATGGAATGACAGCCATATCTTATTTTCTGCAAAGCACAATATAAATGGCCCACTAATGCATTATTTGCTTTAGAGGGAAGTTTGTGGAAATATACTGATTATGTGTTTAAAAATACAAGTCCAGTACCAACTATTCCAACATCACTCCTCATACCCAAAAAGGGCTATAGACCACTGCCATTTCAGGCAGGGGAATTAAGCAACAGAGGAGCCTGGCAACTTTCAAAGGTCACCGTGAGTCTTCAAAGTATCTGGCCTGCCCCTCAGGGAATGGCGCTCAGACCCCAGAAAGGATATTCCTCTTCATCTGTCACATCAGCATACTGGGCCAAGAGGGCAGCTTTTCTCTGCTTCTCCTCTTCTGACATCATCCTGGGCTTCACCACAATCTGTGCCTGCTTCTCAATTAGGGTGGTAATGGCTTGTACTTCATCTGGGAGGTAGTGGGAGGGAGGAACAACAGGGCTGTATAAGAGACAGCCAGTCCACTGAATGCCCATTCACCCAGGTAGCATTTGTACTAAGACTGGCATCTGCTGCCTCCTGAGCCCCTGTAGCTAAAAGGACACAGAGCCAGTGAGAGGGCAAGGTAAGGCTATGCAGGCAGGCTCTGTACCTGCAATCGGAGCAGTCCTGACTTTACTTGTTTTCTATATTGAAGTTCTGCTGCCTTAAAAAAAAAGTTGAAAAGCACTGCATGAGACCCACAGAAAATGACGGCTCCCAATATGTAACTTTATCCCTCCCACCCTATAAACCCAAGCAAAAATCTAGAATTAACTTAAGCTAGTCCCTTTCTTGTTTATGATTATGCCAACTAAAATTCTTAGATTAAGAATATTTTACCGTATTTTAAAATAAAATCAACCATTTAAGTTCTCCACTCTCAAAAGAAAGTAATGATAAGTAGTGGTTCTCACACCTGGCTGCATATTAGAACACTAGAGCAGTTTGGGAGAGTTTTTTTGTTTTGTTTTTTTAGGAGAAATGATCTCATCTGTCACTGCCCAGTGTGGAATACAGTGGCAGGCTCCTGGGTTCAAGTGGTCCTCCCACCTCAGCCTCCTGAGCAGCTAACTACAGGCACGTAACACCATACCCAGCTCATTTTTTTTTCTTATAGGCATGGGGTCCAGGTCTTGAACTCCTGGCCTCAGGCGATCCTCCTACCTTGGTCTCCCAAAACACTGGGATTACAGGTATGGGCCACCACACCTAGCCTAGAAGAGCCTTTAAACAAATACAATTGCCTGGGCCCCAACCCAAGTACATCAAGCGATTCTTTTTTTTTTTTGAGTCTAAGTCTCACTCTGTCGCCCAGACTGGAGTGTAGTGGCCGCTCCCAGCCACCGCAACCTTGACCTGCTGGGCTCCAGCGATCCTTCCGCCTCAGCCTTCCAAGTAGCTGGAACTACAGGCACGCACTACCATGCCCAGCTAGTTTTTGATTTGTTGTTGAGATGAGGTCTTGCCAAGTTGCCCAGGTGGGTCTCAAACCCGTGGGCTCAGGTAATCCATTCACCTCGGCCTCCCAAAGCGCGGGATTACAGGCTGAGCCACCGAGCCCAGCCACATCAAGTGATTCTAATACACAGCCAAGACTGAGAACCAATAGTGTAAAGAGTTTAGAATTTTTCCAAGTTTGACTTTTTTTTTTAAAGAGATGGAGTCTTGGCTGGGTGCAGTGGCTCTAGCCTGTAAGGCCAGCACTTTGGGAGGCAGAGGTGAGATGACTGCCTGAGCCCAGGGGTTCAACACCAGCCTGGGTAACTTGGTCAGACCTCCTCTCTACAATACAACAAAAAATTAGCTGGGTGTGGTGGTGTATGCCTGTAGTTCCAGCTACTCGGAAGGCTGAAGCGGAAAGATCTCCTGAGCCCAGCAGGTCAAGGCTGTGGTGGCCATAAGCATGACACTGCACTCCGGAGTGAGACTCTTACTCAAAAAAAAAAAAAAAAGAGAGATGGAGTCTCACTTTATTGCCAAGGCTGGACTCCAACTTCTGGGCTCAAGCGATCCTCCCGCCTCAGGCTCCCAAGTAGATGGGACTGTGGGCATGTACCACCACACCCAGCTAAGTTTGGCTTTTATGATTTGAGTTCTCTGCAGCTAATTTACCATCCTAATGGTGAGTATATTCATCCGTTTCTCTTCCATTTTAAAGTGTGAAGGATTGGCCGGGCTCGGTGGCTCAGCCTGTAATCCCAGCACTTTGGGAGGCCAAGGTGAGTGGACTGCCTGAGCCCACGGGTTCGAGACCCGCCTGGGCAACTTGACAAGACCTCATCTCTACAATAAATCAAAATGAGCTGGGTGTGGTAGCGTGCACCTGTAGTTCCAGCTACTTGGAAGGCTGAGGCGGAAGGATCGCCAGAGCCCAGCAGGTGAGGCTGCGGTGGCCGGGAGCGGCCACTGCACTCTAGTCTGGGTGACAGAGTGAGACTCCAACTCAAAAAAAAAAATAAAATAAAATAAAGTGTGAAGGATTTACCTGAATAAAGCAAAATGCCACAGCAATCTGTATTTTGAAAGGAGAACATGAAGAGGGTAGGAGGTGGGAAAAACATAGTTGACCCAACACCTGCAACGTAAATCTCCAAGGGCAGTGGGAAGAGGATGAAAAGGAAGCCAAATGCCACCATGAAGATAACTGTGGTCAGCTGAATGAAAAAATGCAAGAGGAAAGGAAACCAATGTCCAGTAAAAAGGTAAAGCAGGCTGCTGGGTGTTTGCCACTGTGCATTACCTTAAGGAAAATGGGCTTCCACTAAATGTTATGTTGTGTACTAAAAAACCAAATAACTCAAATATGTACCTTCTTTTAATTAAAATAAGCCAGGCACAGTGGCTCACACCTATAATTCCAGCATTCTAGGAGGCTGAGGCAAGAGGATTACTTGAGCTCAGGAGTTTGAGACCAGCCTAGGCAAAATAGTGAGATCTTGTCTCTACCAAAAAATCAAAAAGTTAGCTGGGCAGGGTGGCACGTGCCTGTAGTTGCAGCTACTTGGGAGGCTGAGCCTGAAGGATCACCTGAGCTCAAGAGGTCAAGGCTGCAGTAAGCCATGATCATGCCACTGCATTCCAGTCTGAGTGACAGAGTGAAATACCCAACTCAAAAAATAAAATAAATGAACATTCATGGGAAAAATGAAAATATCTCTAACAGCTTACCATAAGGCTGTTGGAAAAGGACCTGGAGATCAGACATAGAAACTCCAACTCTACCTTCTTTTTTTACTTTGGTGACAACATTCTGAGTTTCTGACCATCGTTCCACAATCTCCTTGCAGATACTAAGGAGGGAATCTTCTTCCTAGTTGGAAAAGTGGACCAATTAATATCCTGACACTTAACGAGGAAATTCATGAGTAAATGGCCCCTCACCCAACCATCCCTCTGTCCATTTCACATAAGCACACATATTCTGCACACCAATCAATCTCCCTCCTCAGCAGTATGACAAAAATGATACTGTCTTTGGTGTCAGACAAATCCCAGATGTGTGAGGAAGTTTCTTAGCTTTCTGTCCTTCACATCTTCCCAGGATGTCAGTGAGGATAAATTAAAATGTGTCTAAGTAGCCGGGCTCAGTGGCTCAGCCTGTAATCCCATGCCTTTGGGATGCTGAGGTGAGTGGATTGCCTGAGCCTGCGGGTTCGAGACCCGCCTGGGCAACTTGGCGAGACCTCATCTCTACAATAAATCAAAAACTAGCCGGGCATGGTAGCGCGCGCCTGTAGTTCCAGCTACTTGAAAGGCTGAGGTGGAAGGATCGCCAGAGCCCAGCAGGTTGAGGCTGCGGTGGCCAGGAGCAGCCACTGCACTCTAGTCCGGGTGACAGGTGAGACTGCAACTCAAAAAAAAAAAAATGTGTCTAAGTGACGACCCTACTTGGCAAAGAACAGGCATCCAACAAAGATGGGCTTTATCCTATTGATGGTGCCTTTACCACCTTCACAGTTCACCCCTCAGGGCGTGCTATCAGATTTTGCCTTGACTAAGAGCTCGCCACGCACCAGGAACTGTTCTGAAGACTTTGCATGAGAACTCTCCGTTCTTAAAATAATCCCATTAAGGACTATTACTGCTCTCAATTTACAGATGAGGAGACCTAACCACGGAAGTTCATTGACTTGTCCAAGGTCATACAAGTAATAATGGAGTGAACAGGAGTTGAACCCAAACAGCCTGGCTGGGAGCCCATGTTCTCAACAACTCTATTATACCATCTCCCAAATAAAAGTGGAGTCATAACACAGCCTTGTTTTGTACCGAGCAAAGGATTTCCTCCTCTACCCCTGCATCCCTTCTGCATTAGTGCTAGACACACAGGATTGGGTCCAGAGTCCCCTCAGTTCATAGACATCCTCACCCTCGACAGGAAGAACAAAGGAAGAGGAAAAGAAAAAAGGACATGATAATTCTTTTGGAATTTGTCTATTGGGTTCTCTAGTTTTTACCAGAACCTCCCCCCTACACACACATACACACAAGACAGGAAAAGGAACAGAAAGGCAGAGAGAAAGGTCGCGCTTAGAAAGGACAAAGTGGTTTATCCCCTCAGTCTCCTCACCCAAACCAAAGGCATTCATTCATCCTTTCCTTCATGTATTCATCCAGAAGGTATCTGCTGTGTTCAAGTATCTGGCATAATGCCACTTAAAATTTAGAAAACCAGTATATCAGCAGCTGCCATAAAATATAACACCTGACTACCCTATTTACACCTGCAACCTATCCTCCACTTCACTCCCTCACAATGCTCCTTTTCCCTTAACACTCTGCACTTTGTAACATACCATGCAACTTACTTGTAATTTTTCTACTGCTAGAATGTAACCCATGAGGGCAGAAATTTCTGTTTTGTTCCCTGAGGTATCCCAAGCACTTAGGGCAGGGCCTGGCAAACAATAATCCATCAGTATAAATTTAATGAATCCATCACTCAACCAATAAAAAAATTTGATGAATCCATCAACCAACCAACAAAAGTACTACTGAGCCTGGTGCGGAGACTCACACCTCATCCCAGCACTTTGGGAGGCAGAGGCAAGGATTGCCTGCGTCCAGGGGTTCAAGACCAGTCTGAGCAACATGGCAAGAGTGCATCTCTACAAAAAATCAAAAATTTAGCTGGGTGTGGTGGCACACACCTGTGATTCCAGCTACTCAGAAAACCTGAGCCATGAAAGTCAAGGTTGCAGTGGCTGTGAGTGTGCCACTGCACTCCAGCCTGGGTGACAGAGTGAGACTTCAACTCTAAAAAAAATAAGTAAATAAAAGTACTACTGAGCCGGGCTCGGTGGCTCAGCCTGTAATCCCGTGCCTTTGGGAGGCTGAGGTGAGTGGATTGCCTGAGCCCGCGGGTTCGAGACCCACCTGGGCGAGATCTCATCTCTACAATAAATCAAAAAATCAGCCGGGCATGGTAGTGCATGCCTGCAATTCCAGCTACTTGGAAAGCTGAGGCGGAAGGATCGCCGGAGCCCAGCGGGTTGAGGCTGCGGTGGCCGGGAGTGGCCACTGCACTCCAGG